ACACCAACTGGATCATTTAATGTTTTGTTCATTGGGATGTCATTGTAAGGTTTAATTGTCTATTTAATAAGCATATGTGTCATAGCAAGGCGGCATGTGTGTGTGCAGCGATAGAGTTTCCCAAATTTATTGTATTTTGCACAATACAATGACAATAAAGACTTTATTTTCTTCATTTTTACTTGCATCAAACTTGTGTCTTTTCACATAAATAGAATGTTTAATACGCCAATAAATTAGACCTACGTCATTTTTGATTGCAACGTTTTTGTGTCTTCCTTACAAAAGAACACAAACATGCACATTGTTAATTTTGTTTAATATATTTTGCAATAATATATTTTTCTCTCCAGTGTGAGCTGTTGACAACAGAGGACGGCGTTTACAAGCAGCAAAAATGTTTGTGGTTAAGGAAGTACTTTTATCCTTTTTGGGAACAGTGGTTGAGCCCGCAAGGTGTTTTCATTTTCATTCAGTCAACAGACATTCACATGTCATTGTTTTTAATAGTAGTACTATAATTAACAACGATACACCACGTAAAAACACTACATACATATAGGCTTGCTGACTGTTATATAACTATAACATTGCACTAAATGGATCGCGGGTATGGGACAGCGCAATCGACGCACTTTGTATTTGAGCCTAGCGTGACGTGTCAGTGACGTAACGAAGCTTCGTTTTCACAGGTCACGTGACAGCCTCATTTCAAGCAATGCTCCTGACACTGTTTTGAAGCACTAGTGTGTCAAAAACTCAAAACGTGTGTCGACACTATAGGTGTCGATCTACCCATCCCTAGGGTGCATGGCAGCCGCAAAGGAGGAGCTCGCAAGCACCCTTCTGAAAGCTAAAATGGTGAATGGGACACCCTACAGTCTCGTAGACTTAACAGGCGTGCTCACATGGCAGCCATTGTAAATGCACATGACGTGTGCCATTTGGGATTGGGCCATAGTCTGGTGTTGTCCTTTAATGGATGTGCCAGTGGCTTGTGTCTTT